TGATACAGAATATTTTATCATATCAAATTAGAAACAATTCTTTGTTTCTAATTAATGCTATAAAGGTAGTAACACATGTATGTTTATTTAAATTATATTTGACTAAGAAACATTTTGTATGTATATTAATAAATAACGTTAATTATTAATTAATTAATATTAATAATACAATTAATGATAAAATACGAAACAATATCAATAATAAAATAAAATATGAAAACTTTGTTATTTATAATTTATTACTTTATAGAAAAAACGATTGTTTCTTAATTGCTTATTCGCAGATAATTATCAGAGTTCACAAAGAAGAAGAGCCTTTGGATGCCCCACTACTTGCTCATCCACGATATCATTGTCTGGATCATAAATGCTACGTTATTTTAGGTGGACTTGGTGGATTTGGTTTAGAACTAGCAGATTGGTTGACTCTTCGAGGTGCAAAAAATCTGGTATTAACATCACGAACCGGGATTAGAACAGGTTATCAGCAATCAAGAGTAAAGCTATGGCGATCTTACGGTGTGGATGTACAGATCGTTACAGTCGATGATAATTTGAAACATGAAGATTGTGAATCCCTATTAAAATTTGCTGAAGAAAGAGCACCAGTGGATGCCATATTTAATCTTGCAGTTGTTTTAAAAGATTGTATATTTCAAAATCAATCACCGCAAACGTTCGAGGATTCATTCAAATCAAAAGCATGGATGACGAAAAAAATGGACGAATTGTCGAGAAAGATCTGTCCACAACTTCGACATTTTGTCGTTTTTTCCTCCGTGTCGTGTGGAAGAGGAAACGCAGGCCAGACAAATTATGGGATGGCTAATTCCGTAATGGAGAGAATTTGTGAAAAGAGGATGAAAGAAGGATTACATGGTTTAGCAATACAATGGGGTGCTGTTGGTGATGTTGGACTCGTGGCAGATATGCAAGAAGAAAATAAGGAATTGGTTATTGGAGGTACATTGCAACAACGAATATCTTCCTGTTTGGATACATTAGAAGTATTTCTGTTACAAGATCGACCTGTCGTAAGCAGTATGGTTGTTGCTGAAAAAGCAAAAATTGGCGGATCAATGAATATTTATGAAACAGTTGCTCATATGATGGGTAAGCAGTTTTATACAACGCTAAACAAAGAAATATACTAAATACATATAATGCCATGAAATAAGAGTGAAATCAAAATTTTATTCCAAGTATATTTATTGGAATAAGTAGGTAATATCTCAAAAAATATATTTTTTGCACTAAGTTAAATTTACAGGAATGCTTATAATATTTGGAAAACTATCTCTCACAATTGCAGTAGACTTAACCCTTTAAGTCTCTACGTGTTTCTCTCATTTAAATTATTATTATATAACTTGGGTTCTAATCAAAATTTTTAGATCGCAATTGATATTTAGAAGAAAAAAGAGTTGTTTTTTTTCGAAAATCTAGTCAGCCATAAAGTGGAATATCTGAAAGAAAGAAAGAGAAGAAATTGCTTGATAAGGACTCAAATCTGAGGGTCGTAGTCGTTTTTTATACACTGGTTGCCAATTTTTGTCGAGAATAATAAACATTCACTGTGTAGAGCATTACGTTGACTTTTTTAGACAGAAATCGGTAACCCCTTTATTATTAGAAATTTTTTTAATTCTATTATATTCTTTAGTTTTTTCTACCCTTATTTCATATATAATTCTATAAGATTTAGTTGATTAGAGCTAGCTTTATACGTGATCAAAGGTCCATACACGAGGTTTACGAAAACAAAGCTTCCTCTATGAGGAAGCAAAATATAATTATATTATAATTTTATTATAATTTTATTAGTCACACATTAATAAAAAATTATTTAAGACAATTTTATTTAGAAAATTGTTCCTTTAAACTTTTTAGGAAAAAAACCTTAAGTTTTCAATAAACTGATAACTTATTTAAGTTTCTACAATTAAACCATTTTTATTTACCGAAAAGTAGTTGAATAAAAAAATGCATTTTTATATACATATAGTCATTTACTTGTCAAAAAATCATTTTTCAATGACATGTATTCAATGACATACAGATCGTCTGTGTTTGCTAGTTTTGCTTTTTAATTCATTACTTGAAGATTAATCTTTTCCTCGCATGTATCTTTTATATTAATTCAAATTTCTTTTAACGTTTTACGACATTAGAAGATTTACTAATCATTAAAAAAATTTCAAATAAGATGCATACCAATATGTGCTAATTAGGCAATAATTAACAATGCTTCCATTTACTAAGCATTTGTATTGAAATAGCTAAGTGCTTAAAAATATAAAAAAATGTAACAATTGAATTATTGATTAAAATTTGGTGTATATTTAATTTTAAAAGATTAAATAAAATAACATATAATTGATTTTATTATACAATTCCTACTTTATTTCAAACAAAATAGGATTGAAGAACGTAAATGCAATACCATCAAATATGCTATTGGCCGAAATGGGTATGGATTCGATGATGGCAGTAGAAATTAAGCAAACGTTGGAAAGAGAGTTCGATATTTCCTTGACAGCGCAAGACATTAGAACTCTAAATTTTGCTAAACTTCGACAAATGACAATTACAACCGAACAAGGAAAGATACAAGATACAAATGAAATTGATCCAAGTAATTTGGAAGGCTTTGACATGTTAATTCGAAAAGTGAAGGATTCACCCTAATGAAAATTCTCTTGTGAGAACTCATACGATCTCTCTTACGAGATCTTAAATGAAAACGCATATGAGATATCCAACCAAAACATCATATGACAGCGCATACGAGATCTCAATCAGTATGCATATGAGATATCATATAGTATCACATATGAGATATCATTTAATATTATTAAAAAATTTTTATATGACATCGCATACAATAGGGCTCTGCGTTCGGAAACGTCACTCGGGTACACACGGGTATACTCACTCGCTGAGATAGAAAGAGAAGGCAGTATACTCGTACGCTTTTGGGTGACGTTCTGAACGCAGCCTATTACATGCAATGCCATATAAAATTGCATGTAACATCTATTTCTTATATAAAAGTGTAACATAAATCTAATGAAAATAGATTTAGCTGTAATATTTTTTTAACAATATCATTTTATATCATAAAAGATATATTTTATTTGATATAGGAAAATAAGATCTAATGTATAATATAATGCAATTTATGACGGTTTTATTAATAAATTTGTTTCAAAAAAATATTGTTGTAGATATATTTATATTTAATTATTTTTTATAATTGAAAAAATTTATAAAAAAGGAAAAAAATTAAACACCCAATATAAAGTAAGTATAAATTTATTAATTTTCAAGAAATGCATAATTTCAAGACAAACAAATTATCTCTCATTAGTATTCAACATAAAATATATCTTTCTTAGTAAATTACTATTATCTGTAAACATTGCAAATGAGAGTGATTGAAAACATTAACATATAACCCACTACCCTATTGTTTTTAATTGGTATTAATACTTATGATGTATAACATCACATTTTAAAATCATGTACGTACAATTATTATGAGAATGACTAGTCATTCTCATAATGTTAATGAAAGAAATAATAACATTCCAATTTCCAAATTAAAATGTCATTTTGTTTTTAATTATATTCCAATATTTTTTATAAATTTTTATTTTTTTAAATTTTAAACTTAAAATTTTAAAAAATTTTGGAAAATTCTTAACCTCGTTGAAATACTCAAAACGATACTCACGTAAAGAAAGATCGGCGGTAAACTGTACTGCTAGAGCTAGAATGCCACGATTGCCACGGCCACTTGATCTCTGTTATTGTTTTGGTCGTCGACTGTCGCAGTCGCGGGCAACTGTGCGATGTGAGAAATGTTAGGAATATCGATAAAGAAATAAATCATTGTCATTTCGTAAATGCTTGAATGCTTGACACATATTTTATTACAGATATAGAAAGATATAAATTTCATTACAAAACAATTAATAAAAAGTCTTCCGTTGCATTTATTAAACGTAAAATTCCATTTAACTGGTTTTCTTTCATTTTGCACACGCAACGTTTACTTCAGCATAAAACAGCCTTCAGTTTGTATCCTCTTCAGTCGTACTTTTTTTACGTATATCTGGTACGAACAGACTTTGGTAGATAACTACATACTGATTATGATAATACACGCGCTCTGGCCCGAGGACTCTGTGTGGTCTGAAACAAGCGAATGGGTTTTTTTCACTAAAGACGATGTCGATGTACACAAAAACGACATACGATGTGTAACATCGTATGTCTTTTTTATATTTTATATACTCACTATAAAGTAATACAATATAAAACTTTGGTAACAAAATATAAGAACTTAAATAGAAACTTTTTCATAATCTAATTTTCGGATATCTCTAATTTTATATCCGATGTGTTTGTTCATATAACGAAGGATTCTTTTTTTCTTTGTAGAATGATGAAATATTTCGTCAAGGTAATCTTTAAATAATCCTAAAATGGAATTGAATTATTTGAAGTAATGTATCATTATTCGATTTGCAACTGAAAATCAATACTTACGACGCAAATTTTTATATTTTTTTGGCGTAAAGCATTTTCGAGGGGATCTTTGGTACAACTCAGTTGTTATTTTTGATTTTTTAAAACATCTGTTTACCAAATGATATTTACCCCAAAATATTACGAGTAGTTCTCGTAAAAACACCCAGTGGCTACGGTGTTTAATGTACTCCCAGAATGCCAGTTGTATCATCTTGCCACATCCAATGTAAATCTAGATAAACAATTGTGAACATAAATATTTCAATTAAATATTTATAAATAATTGCTTAATATAAAACTGGGATACCTCATCTCCTTCAATTTCATATAACTGTCTTCCTTCTTCATTAACTTCTCGCACTTCCGAGCTTAAGTGATTGTCATATTGGTTTTCATCCTCCGATTCTATTTGCTCCCCTACCAAATAATTTAATAAAATTTTGTTTAATAGTTTTTTAAAAATTGTCTTTTAAAAAAACGTGTGGGGTCACGCGCGCGCGCGCGCGCGCGTGTGTGTGTGTGTGTGTGTGTGTGTGTATTCCTATACATGTGCGTCTTGCAATACAATTTATTACCTGCAGTTTTCAATCGATAGACGAAGCCTCTTCTACGATTCGGCCGCAACTGTGGAGTCCCCACATTTTGTACTTCTGCTGAAAAAATATATACATTTTTTTTTTAATTAAATTACCTGTAAATTTTGAATTAATAATGTATATCGAGCAATTTCTTATAATTATTATAGCTATTTTCTTACGTTCATTTCGTGGTGGCGATCTTGAAAATGAACGTTCATTACGTTCATTAGGTTCATTTCTACGATTCGGCCGCGACCGTGGAGTCCC